GTTCCTTGGCAACATCAAATTCTTATTATATAGGGCAAAATCCCTACGTCAGTGCCTAATTTTTCTCCACAGAAAAATCAAATTAAATGTCAAAAAAAAAGACTAGTAGTAGTATTAGGAAAGAAAACGACAATCCCGACTGACTCCCGCCGAATTTGACCTCTGACTAGTATGTGAGTCACTACTGGTTAAAAACTTAAAATACCTTTTCTACCCATAAAAAGTATATCAAAACCTAACCCTATGATTAAGGCGTAATGAAGTCACAATGCCTCTGCTAAAACTCGTTTTTCTTCTTTTTTTTTTGAAAAAAGAATGGCTTGTTTAACTATTGGAATTATGGTTAAGATATTAGACCCGTTTAGAGCTGATTTTCTTAGGTACAAAAAAAAATAAAAATTAGATATAAAATTAGTGAGTTAGAATAGTATTAACGAATGTGAGTAACAAACAGATAAACTTGTTAGAAATTGATTGACATGAACCAAATTAAACAATACACATATACACTAAACACGAGTTAAGCATAACACAAATCTATTAAATAAGGTTAAGTACTATCTCAATTCAAACATATATAATTATAAATAGATTGATGCTCCGTTTGGTAGGGAGGATGGAAAGTAGAAGGAATACACTTTCTATTCTTCAAAGATGGAAAATAGAAAGGATACACTTTCTTTCATTTGTGTTTGGTTAGATATATAAAAAAAATGACAATTTTTTTTTTTGTGCTGACTAAGATTAGGGGTGACAATCGAGTCGTGTCGTANTAAAAATTTTCTGTCATGAAAAATCGTTCAATCATATATCGTTTTTTGTCCCTTTGGTTCTTATCATTCTGATGAATGCACTATTTCCATTACCTGTAACAAGTAATACTTTAAAATCACTTTACACATCAAAGGTTGGACACAAGGACAACTTAATGGTACAATGGTGCCTACAATTTCTACTAACAAATGGAGTAAATCAATCTAACAGATAATNGTCGAATATTAGTCAAACCTAACTTAACTCATTTAACTAATTGTGTTGTGTCGAGTTACGAGTTGACCATTTTATTTTCGTATCTAGTTTAAGTCGTGTCATCGTGTTTAGTCGAAAATTTTTAAATTTTCAACCTTAGTTAAGATGGAAAAAATATTTTTTTTTAATTTAAAATTTTTAAAAATATATATACATATTTTACCATTATATTTTTATATGAAATTAATGTATACATAAGATATATAGACAAACAAGATACATCTCAGCACAAATAATTAACTTTCTATCTATTTTCCTTTCAATTTTGAAGGGATTGATTTTGGTGAGTTGAAAAGAAAGTTAATTCATCCACTTTTCTATCTTTCTTACTTTCCTTCCTTATCAAATNGGCTCATAACTTTAAGTAAAATCAAGAGTTGTCCGATGTATGAATTGATTTCTCAACTTATATACCATTTAAATCGGGACTTATGTTTCGCCAAAGACTCAAGACTCACACCAGAAATTTGGATACGATTCGTTCAAACAACTGAAGTTTTGTCCTACCAAACAATCATGTTATTGCGCCCAAGGGACTTCGAATCCCTGACCTCCCACTAAGAAGCCAAAGGCTCTGCTCAACTGAACTATCCCAGTTGGTTAGGGGGTTACTTTGAGCACCATCCTTCCTGCATAACACAAAATGCTTGCAAGAAAGCGTTCACGGTTGAGTGTAGCTCCCCCCCATCCCTTGTTTTGTTGCCAATGTGAGCTAAGATGCTTTTGGGGAGGTGGTGTCAATTAAACATCAAGTGATCACTAGTATTTTTCTCTTTTTAGATATATTTGTCTTATCGATACACTTGGATTTTTTATTTTTAAATAATTCATTTCAAATCAATTTAAGATTTTATCGATACGAGAATTTACTTAATTTTGTCATTTCTCTTGAAAACGCCAATTACAATCTTTTAGATAGTAGATTCACAAACAATTTCAGTGTCTTGCAAAATCATAGCAATAAATACTATGGTTATTACTAGATACTTATAACCTATATAAGATTTGACATATATATATTTTTTTTTAAGTCATAGATTTTATTGAGACTTGACGTAAACATATTTTAAAAAATAATCAGTCTTAGTCTTGCATGCATTAGGGATGTTGGTGGTCGTTCGATGTATCTATTTGAGACCTTTGAATAGACTTATTGAAACTTGTTCTGTTTTATATTATAGATGTCACTCATAAAAGTATANTTAATGTATACATAAGATATATAGACAAACAAGATACATCTCAGCACAAATAATTAACTTTCTATCTATTTTCCTTTCAATTTTGAAGGGATTGATTTTGGTGAGTTGAAAAGAAAGTTAATTCATCCACTTTTCTATCTTTCTTACTTTCCTTCCTTATCAAATATGATGTTTTATTTATTTATCTAATTTTTTATCATTTCAAATTTTTATTCTTCTAATTTTTCATCGTACCAAATGTAGCATGAGTATTAATCAAATAAAATTTGACCCAACAAAATTTCGACGTTACCAAGAACTAATCATACTGGAAAGTCAAAAGTACATCAAATGGGGCGGCTGGTTGTTGGTTTGTTCAATGCCGATATTTTGTTTTGGCCATATGACACATGTGAATAATTTTGCACGACTTGACTACGTTTTTAGTCGGGGTGTCGTAACTTTAAAATTTATTATTTTTATAAATATTTTTATAACAAAAAAATATTATTTTTATGAATATTTTTATTATTTTTTGTAAATTTTTATCACTTTTTTTTATATTATAATAATAATAAAAATATTTACAATAAAAATAAAAATACCCACAAAAATAATTAATATCGATGCAGTATCAAGCAAAAGTGTATCTTTCATCTCTTAAAAGATACAAAGGTTAAATTTTAAAAGATAATTTAAATGACAATAAAAACGAGTTATAAATTTAAACGTTATAAGTTTGAATATTGATAATTCATTTGAAATTAGGCCATGAACAATTTATTCTTTATAAGTTATGAATAATTTAATCTTGACGTAGATAGATATATCTTTGATCTAAGTGAAAAGTGAATAGAAGATGAATCAAAATATGCTTGGNCAGCACTTACTTTATTCTTTAATTTAATTACTAATATAATTCAAATTTTTTATAAAAGATATTATTTAAATTTTTTTTATATGTAACGCACGTTGTGTATTATTAATACAATAATATATAAAAACGATGACACGACCGACGTTGAATATTTCCTGTTTATATTTAGGACGTGTAGAACTCGAAGAGGCAGTTTTGGTTGTTGGGGGTTTACTNTTAAGTATGAGCGAAGTTGATATAAAATCACATAACAATTAACGTGACTTGATTATATACTAATTACATATGATTTGTATACGATACGAACTCAATATAACATAATTTATTAGACATAAATTTATGACTAAATTAAATATATTTTTTAACACAAATTAAGATGGATGAAAAGTAGGAAGAATGAAGAATAGAAAAGATACACTTTCTATTCTAAAGAAAAATATAAATGATATATTTTTCTATCTTTATGTTTGGTTAGATGGATGAATAATAAAAATGATTATTTTTTTTGTGCTTAATAAGATGAAAAAAATAATTTTTTTATTTATTTAAAAAATATAAATAATATTTTACCATTGTATTTATATATGAAATTAATAAACACAGAATATATAACTAATATATTTAAATAAGATATATTTCAACATAAAAAAATAATTTTTTATCCACTTTCTTTTCATTTTTAAAGGGATTGATTTTGATGAGTTTAAAAAAAAATTCATTAATCTATTTTTTTATCTTTCCTATTTTCTTTACTTACTAAATATAATATTTTTATTATTTTTTATTTTTTTNATAATTTATTAGACATAAATTTATGACTAAATTAAATATATTTTTTAACACAAATTAGGATGGATGAAAAGTAGGAAGAATGAAGAATATAAAAGATATACTTTCTATTCTAAAGAAAAATATAAATGCTACATTTTTCTATCTTTATGTTTGGTTAGATGGATGAATAATAAAAATAATTATTTTTTTCGTGCTTGATAAGATAAAAAAAATAATTTTTTTATTTATAAAATTTAATTTTTTTATTTATTTCAAAAATATAAATAATATTTTACCATTGTATTTATATATGAAATTAATAAACACAGAATATATAACTAATATATTTAAATAAGATATATTTCAACACAAAAAAATAATTTTTCATCCACTTTCTTTTTATTTTTAAAGGGATTGATTTTGATGAATTTAAAAAAAAATTCATTAATCTATTATTGTATCTTTCCTATTTTCTTTACTTACTAAATATAATATTTTTATTATTTTTAATTTTTTTATTTTTTTTACCATGCCAAACGAAACCTAACATCAAACATGAAGTCGGGCTTACCCGACACAATTGAGAGAATTATGCACCTCCACCAAGCACCAACCTGTGCTGCATTTTTAGTTTGTACGGTGACTAAATAAAAGCAATAAAAAGAATCATATTAAAAAGATAAATAAATAAATAGGAGAGGAATTTTTGGAAATAAATAAAAGCAGAGGAGGACTGTACCCGCCAAGTACATGATCTTCTTAGAGCTGCTTATCCGCTTTGCTTCAGAGACAATCGTGCCTGATTTTAAGAGAGAGAAACAGCACACTTTCTAGAGAGAGAGAGGAGCACAAACTGAATACAGAGAGTCCTCTACTTCTCTCTCTCTCTCGCTCGCTCTCCATGATCGTGTTCGTTTGTCTGAAAACTAAGAGATTTAACTAATTTCACTCAAATTCTCGGTGAGTCGTTCGATTTATCTGTTTTCGTCAAAGCTGTGGTTCCATATATACGCTTGGTATACATGGTGTTCTGATGCTTATACATGTTAGATATATTTACATGTATATATATGCATATTTGCCCTGTATGTAGATGTAATACGTTTTTTGTTATGCAGAGAGGCGAAAAAAGGAAGAGAGAGATGGCGGAAAAAGATGAAGCTATGGAGGCTCTGAAAAGGGAAGCTGTGGATTTGGTACGTACTCCGGAACTTCACACAATCACGTCTCTCTATGTCTCTCTTGATAAACATAATCATCTATGATTATGAGTGAGGGCTTTGAGGTTCTGCTGCGGTAGTTCTTTGATGTTGATATGTGATTTTGTGGTTGTTGTTGTTGGTGGTGGTGATAGTGGTTGTCGTGTTGGTGGTTATGTTGTGTGTGTGTGTGTGTCTTGAGTGTGGGTGCGTATATTTGTTTGTTTTCGGTGATTTTGGTTCCTGGATTGTGATGGATTAGGATATGAATTTGATTTGTAGGAGAACATACCCGTTGAGGAGGTTTTCGAGAATCTGAGATGTACCAAAAATGGACTCACATCTGAAGATGTTGAGAGGAGATTGGACATATTTGGGCACAACAAGCTTGAAGAGAAAGTGGTATGGCATTTTGTATCACTAATCTTTACTTTCGTCTTGGAATTATTGCCGCTGTTGTTGATTCTTTTTGAATTTTGAGATGTTTAAAGGCAATTTCCGTATCTTTGGGACTTTGCAGGAGAGTAAGTTTTTGAAGTTCTTAGGGTTCATGTGGAATCCCCTCTCATGGGTCATGGAGGCTGCGGCAATTATGGCTATTGCGCTTGCAAATGGTGGAGTAAGTATTGTGCCGAGAGGAGATTGGACATATTTTTATGCCATACACAATTTTCTATTATAATTTTTTTCACTCTTTTGTGGGGGATTTTGCTCATGGAAGTGACATGGTGGTGTACTTTTCTGCAGGGAAAAGCACCTGATTGGCAGGATTTTGTTGGGATTATTACTCTGCTTGTTATCAATTCAACTATAAGTTTTATAGAAGAAAACAATGCTGGTAATGCAGCAGCTGCTCTCATGGCACGTCTTGCGCCCAAAGCGAAGGTATTAGAATGTGGATGGAAGCTTGTTTCATACTTGCATATGCTATGACTTATTTGTTACAGATCAGATTTCAACAGTTCCATTTTGGCACTTTTTGGTAGATATGAGATATTTCTATCCTCCTAAATTGATTAAATAATGAAAAATTTCTAGGTTCTCCGAGATGGGAGATGGAATGAGGAAGATGCAGCTGTTCTTGTTCCAGGAGACATCATTAGCATTAAACTTGGGGATATAGTTCCAGCTGATGCTCGTCTCCTTGAGGGTGATCCGCTGAAAATTGATCAGGTGCCTTTGTGACTTTCACTGTCTGTTGATTGAATACAAGTGGATTTTTTTTTTCTCATAGTCATCTAACAATCGTTTTTTGGCCTTGCAGTCTGCTCTCACGGGTGAGTCCCTGCCTGTGACAAAAGGCCCAGGGGATGGTGTTTATTCAGGGTCTACCTGCAAGCAGGGAGAGATTGAAGCAGTGGTCATTGCCACAGGTGTGCATACCTTCTTTGGCAAGGCTGCTCACCTCGTGGACTCCACAAATCAAGTTGGCCATTTTCAGAAGGTATGAGCATGTTGATGTAAAGTTAGCTGTTCATAATCACGGCACCCGAAAAATAGGGAAAAGAGGAATTGATAAGAGAAAGGATCCCAATTTGTTGCTCCATTGTAAATTTATACTTCTCTATTTCATGATTGATTAGCCTATGGGGTTTTGGTCTCAACTAGGAGTTTGTTTAATATACCCATGCAGCATCCATCCTTTTTTCTTTGTGCTTAATATAGATTGGATTGTATAGACCTGAATATTGGTATTCACCAAATACTTCTTATGATGTCATAGGTCTTGACTGCCATCGGAAATTTTTGTATATGTTCTATTGCGGTTGGGATGTTTGTAGAAATAATAGTGATGTACCCGATTCAACATCGGGACTATCGTCCGGGAATTGACAATTTGCTGGTACTTCTGATTGGAGGAATCCCTATTGCTATGCCGACAGTCTTATCTGTTACAATGGCAATTGGTTCTCACCGTTTATCTCAGCAGGTTGGTCATATTGGGATTCTAATGTACTTCTGAGGATTGTAATTTGACGTCTGCTGGTATGTAAGACTGTCTTTATGTTTAATTGTTGCAGGGAGCCATCACAAAAAGAATGACAGCTATAGAAGAAATGGCCGGGATGGATGTGCTTTGCAGTGATAAAACTGGAACTCTGACCCTGAACAAGCTTACTGTCGACAAAAATCTTATTGAGGTTGATTTGGAATTTTTTGCTTTATACTAAATTTCTATGATTTTGCAGGTTGTTGCCTCTTACATCTCCTTTACTGGATTTATTTTTATAGGTCTTTGCTAAAGGAGTTGACGTAGATACTGTAGTTCTGATGTCTGCCAGGGCCTCTCGGGTGGAAAACCAGGATGCAATCGATGGCGCTATAGTAGGGATGTTGGCTGATCCGAAGGAGGTAGGTGGACTGGTCATATGCAATTTCCTGCAGATAGGATGGCCCACCAAAGCAGGGTTTCTCTTATTATCCCTAGTACACAGGATTATAAACCATGGATACTGACTTTTGGTACTGGGTCTCTAATTTAGTATTTTTCTCTTTCTTGATGATTTGTATGAATAAAAGGCACGGGCTGGCATCCAAGAGGTTCACTTCCTCCCATTTAACCCAACTGATAAGAGAACAGCTCTGACGTACATTGACAGTGAAGGTAAAATGCATCGCGTCAGCAAAGGTGCCCCTGAACAGGTATATGGATAGATTTCTGTCTTCTAACGTGATGTCTCTGGACTCACAGATTGTTATTGTCTAATTCATGCATGTTATATTGTCTTTAGATTCTTAACCTGGCACACAATAAATCAGACATAGAGCATAGAGTTCATGCTGTGATTGATAAATTTGCCGAGCGAGGATTAAGATCTCTTGCAGTAGCATACCAGGTAAAATATTTTTCTCTTAACTAGTTTACTTAATATAGGTGTCTATTCCAGATAGAAGTTGATGAGCTTAATGTATTAAACAGGAAGTTCCTGAGCGTACGAAGGAAAGTCCTGGAGGTCCATGGCAATTCATTGGCCTCATGCCTCTGTTTGACCCACCCAGACATGACAGTGCAGAGACAATAAGAAGAGCTTTGAATTTGGGGGTGAACGTTAAAATGATCACTGGTGCGTATGTCTTTTATATGTTTATATCTCTATATAATGTAGTTGAATACTCCTCATCAATGTTACTGATTTTATTACAGAAGTTGAACTGGAATGTTTAAGTTCATACTAGAGAAGTATTATTACAAGGATATCTAAAATATTATAATATTTTGGATAAATTGTTTATACCTTATTCAATCTTAAGTTTCTAGCTTTTTGTTATGGTTTTTTTTAGCGGTGGGTGAAAAAGAGAAAGGAGGGAGGGGGGGGGGGGGTTGG